ATTCAACTTGCGTTTGAAAAAGTATGTAAAAGAATTTAAATTGCTTGCTCCTACTAGCATATTTCTTACAAGCGCGTGTAAAAAGTATGTTTAGTGCCTACATTCTAATCCGACAGCAAAATAAAATACTCACTGTCGCAAGCTTTAGTTGAACAGTCCTTTTCGTTTATCTGACTATTTAGAATTCTAGAGACTTCTTTTTGCTCTTAAAATTTTAAAATAAAATACAAAAACTAATAACCTGTGGCCTTTGCTTCTATATATCTTCATTTTTTTTCTGTGCTGAACTTAATTGTTCAGATACACTGGACATTGCGTGAACAATTTATAGTCTGGTTATTTTCAACCCGCTGTGCGGCTTTAGACAAAACCGAACATTATCCTTTAAAAGTTTGCTTTTATGAGTACAAAACGCTTTTCATCTTAATCTTAGTTAAAAGCGGCATTTTTAAGATAAAGAGCATGATATGTGACTTGATTTCAAATAAATAGATTACATACTTATCGAGGCAATTGTTACACAAATTATTTTCATTTCTTTCAAAATATGCCTGATATAGTTGGTCGTTAATTTCTTGGTACTATAGTTACCACCAAATAAATCACCTTTAGGTCGAATTCTTTTAATTTATTGAATGCATTTTTCAAAATAATTATTAATATTTTGTGTCTGTAAAATTTCTCGCGAGATTATGCTTTACGACGTTTTGTAAGAATTTGTTTCACGTAATTTCGTCGGTAAGAAATCTCATGTCCCATGGGTTTGCGAGCGAGTTTATTCTGTGATCTTTCCTTCTTTTCTCATTTTTCATGCATTTATTTATTTTATTGCATTATTTGTCTCAAATTCAAGCATTCCAAAGTATTGTTAAGTAACATCAATAACAAACAGATGTAGGTTGAATATAAATTATTTTAAAAATACTCTTTTAATTGTTTTGTGGATTTTTGCAACTATCTCACTACAAAATTCCATGAATAAGTTATGAATTTACTAAATGAACAAAAAAAAATTTTAAGCAAATAATAATGGTAAGAAAAATATTGATTAATAAAAACAAAAAAAATAAATAAGTAAAATCGAACATATAATTATTTAAAATAGTATATATTCAATAAATAATTTATAAAAACGATCAATTAAAATTGCAATGTAATGAAAATTAACTCTTAAAAAATTATTATAACTATAAAAAATATTATAAATATAAATAAAATCAGCATTTAAACTTTGTAAAAATCACACTACCTGTTAATGTAGTATTTTATGTTAAGTCTTACAAATGGGTTTGAAATATTTAGAAACAAGAAAAATAAATGCAGCATGAAGTAATCACATTTGATATTGATTCTTTTATTTGACTTTATTTCTTTATAAAGCACTAGCGTAATTTATTACTGTTAAATAACAATATTTCATAAAAGATTTCTTCAATCGCGAAGTAATTGTTCAGCTCCTCGGTTTGTTCACGGTAGTTTCAGAGCCGGAAAGTAATTAATTCTTCTTACTTAATTTCTGAAAAATCACTCAGTCTCTTTTAAATATTTTCTGTATTTTTACAGAAATTTCCAGTTAATTTTGCATATTTTTTCCGTTTTTCCATAAATTTACATAAGATTTCTGATAAAGGATTAGCTGTAAATTAGCATCCAAGCAGTTTCTACAGTTATATTAACCACTGCCCATTCATGCTAATTATAATGAGTAAATTGGAAGCAATTACATTTTTGAAGAAAAAATGTATTTTCTTTCAGAAAAACCACGGTGTCTCCTGTAAATATTTTCTGCACCTTTACGGAAACTTTTCGTTAATTTTGCATATTTTTTCCGTTTTTTTGTAATTTTACATAAGTTTCTTGATAAATGATTTACTGTAGGTGGAATTAACGGCGCATATTAATCAGTCCCGCAGTAAACTGATCATAAAGACAAGGTTCCCAGTAAAACACCGAAGTCAAGCATCACTAGCTGCTGTAAGTAAGCGGGTAGGTGACCACTTTGACTAGCCTACGTAGGGACCGAGGATGCGTGGTATCGGTGCTCGTTAAACTGTTCTACCGTAAAGTACTCGACTTCACGTACAGGTCGTCGGGCTACCAAAGTAGAGGAGCCATCCCCTCTACAAAGGATCAAAATTGTGCTGGCATGTCTTAGGTTCATCCTCTGGGATGTTTCCCAAACCGTCACCAATAGTCCATTGTGCTGCTCTAGTGCGACGTGAATAAGGACCTACCCGCCCTCCAACATATTAATTATAATGAATAAATTAGAAGTTTCATTGATTCTGTTGAATCATGCGTAAAACTCTGTTCCAACAAATATACGTATATATTTATATGATAAATAAACTACTAGTTAAAATAATTATGGAAATTATGATAATTTTATTCCTATCTAACTTCAAGCTTGCAGTGACATTTGCAAGGAACTACTCTAGATTTTATTAATAATTTTTAAATATTTTCTATGTTCAAAGAATAACTGTAATTTAGAAACAAATGAGAAATGTTTATATCGTAAATTCATGGCTATTAACGAGATTTTAAAAAAAAATTACTGTTACATCGGTAACATGATGAATAAGGTTTATCAAGAAAAATTTTGTTTTAAAAACAATCTAAAGTTAATGACTGTTTTCCTTTGCACTCATTTTCCATTTGAATATAAAATAGAGTCTGTAAAAAATCTATTAAATCAATGCCCTATTAAATTAAAGCCTTATTTCTGGTGATTCGACGGGATCCACCAAATACTAAAATTGAGTTAAAACAGAGAAAAGTCAATGAAATATATTTAGACCATAAATATTTCTCTTTTTTGCTTTATATCATATTAAAAACAAATATAAACAAATAAATAAATTACTGTTATAATTTCGTCAGTATTGAATATTATCGCATATTTTCACTATAGCTATACGATATTTTCAGAATAAAATCTTCATTCATTGCACTTTGATTCATTTTATAAACACAAAAAGAAGGGAACACAATTCATCAATTGAGCACTCTGCAGCAATTACTGGACGACTGGGATTTTCCTAGCTTCTTTTTTATCATACTTTGTTTTTCTTTTTATGGGGGAATATTTTTTTCTTTAAGTTTAATGGTGAAGAGTATAGGAGGCATCTAAAGGTTAAGGTCGTCTCAAAACCCTTTAGTAGACTACACCCAATCGAAGAATGACCACGCCTCCCCACAGTCCGATTGAAAGATGCTGTAGCAGGATCTGAAGATGAGGATAAAAGAGCGTGATTCGGTAATTAAAGAAACGCCTGAAGCCTTCTCTACCCAACTGTAGTCAAAAGCTATGCGGAAATGTAAAGCCAACATGGGTCACTATTCATTGGCGAAAAATTCTTCAATTTTAGATTCTTTCAAATTACCAATTTTTCAAACAAGTGTTGGTAATTTTCCAAACAAAAGCTTTTATAAACACAAATTTTGTGAATTTTTTGGAGCTCCCCACTTAATTCATTTTATAATTTCAGTTAACTCTAGTATATTGTATAAAACTATACTGTAGACTCTATTCTAAATTTGGAAAACTCTCGTAGAGTCTACACAAATATGCTGTTGTAATATCTATATCATAGGCTTTATACAAATATCACATTTTTTTTATGATGATGATGAAACATATTTTGCAAACCATGCGTAATCATACTTCATATTACCAATATTTAACGCAACTGTTAATTATTTTCTAGAACGATTAAATGTAGATTTCGTAAAACACTGTGGAATTTTTTAAATGTCAGCTTTGTATTTAATTTAAAGTTAAAAAGCTTCATGCTGCACTTATTTTTAAGTTAAAAAGTTTTTTTTAATTCAAAATTTAGTAGACCCAATACTAATATACTGCAGTGTATATACTGTATGCTAAATACAGTTATAGAAAAATTTCATATAATAATTTCAAGTATATATCAATTTTGTAAGTCACAAGTTTAAAAATAATCAAAAAAATTTTACATCTTTCAGCAACCGTTTTATAAAAGCGAATTTAAAATATTTTTTACGGTTGACATATTAACTTTAATAAAGTAAAGCGTAATAAAGTTATAGAAAATATGAAATAGTATATAAATATTATATGAAACAGAATGCCAAAATTTGGTAAATGTAATGTGCTAAAAATTTAAAGAAAACTAAAATAAATTAATTTTAAACTTTGTAGCCAAAAACAACTTTTGTGGCTTAATGTAATATAAAATAGGAATTTTCAGTGCTTGACGTAGGTAATAAAATAATGCTGATGAAAAAAGATTTTTCAAAGTTTAATTATTAAAAAACCTATTAAAAATAATTTTTTCATTTCATTTTATTACACGAAATATGAACTAGCAGATTACATTTAAAAAAATATGCCTAAACTTTGCGAAACTAACATGCTGAAAATTTAAAGTAAGATAAAAAATAAAAATAAAAAAAAACATTTCAATAAAATCTTGCAGGCAATTCCTAACGATATAAAAGCGAGCATGTCTTTAAAACACAGATGTAAAAAAAATTGTCTACAAATTGATGCAGGAAAGAAAAAATACAGGGATACACGCAAATCTTTTCCCCCTCTCTTTTAATCCTCAAAGAAAAGGCATCCTTGCGGTGAAGAATGATTCTTCCTTTCACTTCTGCTCCTCACATTTTGTTAGGCGTCTAAGAAATCAATAGCAGGTTTCTGTATCACCTGTGAAGGGATGATCATTAATTTGGCGCGAATTTGGCGACAACCCGCGGCGCTCAAAATGCAACCCTCACAGTAGTGGCCAAGAGTAAGTGTGGGTTGAGTGAAGCATTCATTCGCGATCAAACATCTGTTTCTACTATTCCATGTTCGAAAGCACGTCGTGATTAAGACCTTGACCTTAGTAGCACAGGTGGATAAGTTTCACTGTGGGAGCGGTACCCTTAGATTTTGATTTTCAGAAATTTTTATTTAAGAAAATGAGATAAACAACTGGTTTTAATTTATTTTATTGTTTATGTGATTTCATCAGAAAAAGACATTATTGTTGGTGACATCAGATCTCGACCTGAAGGTGGTGCAGCCACACCCAGGGGTCCTCAGTCACCCTCTTGGAGTCACTGCGACATGCCGACGGACGCAGCTCTAGCAGCAGCCTCGTCCAACGCCGGACACAACAACAACGCTACACCGAAGACTGACCGGGGCACTCCCGAGCCGGAGTCATCTTCCTCACCGTCCATTTCACCGCACTCACCAAGTCCAGCTCGTGCTTTCCCATCTCTTTTGGTTCCTGGTTTTGGACTTGCCGGACTTCGGGTTAGCTCTACTGCCCCATTCTCACCCCCTCCCGGACTTGAGAGGTTTTCACCTGCTACAGGCAATCCGGCCATCAAACAGATGGAAATGATGACAAGAAACTACAGTGACTTCATGCGGTCTCTTGCCGCCAAATATAATCAGAACAATACGCAAGACAGGTAAGAATTTCTTAATTACTCTCTAAGTTTATTTTCCATTCTGAAATAGTATTAAGTAAAAAAAAAGAGAATAACAAAATTCAATTATCAATTTCAAAGAAGTTTGGTTTTTATTATTATTCCAATATTAGCACAAATCCTTCATAAGAGTGGTGTTAACCGGGACATTTGCTCTGGGCCCAATATTGATAGAAATCTAATAGGCCTCGTGCCAGTGATACCTTTTCTTTTAAATTATAAAAATTGCGATTTTTTTTTTCAATATCATTTGTTTTAAGTATTTACTATTCAAAAACTTTGTTTTATTTTTCAATAATATAGATAGATTCATTAACCCCTCAGTCTTATAAACGTAGTAGCTATCATAATAATTAAATTAGAACTTGGAACATCAAATATATTTAAACACTTTACATGATTATAAACGGGGATTTTTAAAATCAAAATTCTATTTTCTACTAATTTTGATGTATGATTAATAAAATGTAAATGATAAATCTAAAATTTAAGAATAAAATTAAAATAATATTGGAAAAAATTATTTCATTTTATGATCAATTTTGAAAAAATTAGATGAAAATTTAATTTAAGTCATTCCTTTTCCAAGAACCCGTGAATTGCTTTGTTTGGGGACTGTAAATATCTAGCTACGGGTGTGAGAGATAATTTTAAAATTTAAGTCCCATTTTTCATCATGTTATAAAAGGGTGGTCTATTAGATAAAAAAGTTCTATTATCTTATAAAAAGGTGGAGATTTGATTTCTCAATGGAATATTTGTCTTTTATTAGCTTTTGCCACTATTTTATATATTTAATCAGAAAAAAAAATTATTTATGAAATGACAAGTCATTTAAAATAAATATTTAGTCAATCAGTGCCATACTGAAAATATTAAGTCTTTATATGTGCTTTTTCTATCTTTGCATTATATTTATTTATTTTTTATTTATTTTTTTTTGCATTCTTTTATGCACGTGTTTAGAAGTATATATTTAGTCAAAGATCTTCAAAAAATTTGTTTTATATAGTTTTGTTTTAATTGTTTATCTTTAAGTGGTTGTCTAGTCCCTTTTGAACTACGTTTACAATATACTTTAAGAATCCTAATTGTACATAAAATTGCACCCTCACTAAATGAGCCAACTGGTGATCTTTTAGTGAAAATATATCAAATTTGTCTTTCCTTAATTGCTATTTAATGGTTAGAAGCCTTATTCTCATGTCTTTGAGCTATTTATTTATGAAAATTGACAAGTTTAAAAAAAATCTAATTAAGATAATTTTAAGTAATACGCTTAGGACTTTGATAACTATTCTCTTTCTTTTAACTTATCTATTTCTTATTTTTTCTCTACGATATGCAGAAACAGTCAGAATCAGTCATGAAAAGTCCATTATTAATTTATTTATTCCATGCAAACTTTTATAGTTATGTATAACTCATTCTGAAAAAAAAATTCAAGAAATACTTTTTTAAAGAGCTTTGATAAACTTTCATCAAAGACAATTTTCAACTATTTTTGATTTTCGTGAAAATTATTTTACATAAAAGCAGCATTTGTAGAGTTTCACCGGGTAATTGTTTCTAACATAATTTTTCTATAATTATTATATTAATCATTACAATGTAAATTGAAAACAAAACCGTTACATTTCTCATTCATCACATTGGTATCATTGCGACTGAGTTCTAAATGCCCTGTTTTACAAAAGCTTATTTAATTATAGGAAGAAGTTTAATAATAAATACAATTCATTAATAAAATATCAGAGGAAATTTTTTTTCCCAGATAAAATTACAAAACTCTAAAAGTATTTTCTCTTATAATTTTGTTACGTTTTAGCTTTCTGTTTCTTTCTGTAAATAACAGAGCAATAGCATATGCGTACTAAATTTTTTGAAAGAAGTTTAACAATGGTTCCAAAAAGATGACGCGAATAAAAAGTATTGGGACATTTTTGAAAGGCTTCTATATTTTCATGTTACCTCTGTTATTTTTTGACATATCTTGGGTGAAATGCAGTATAAACAAAGCCCTAAATATGATTCAAATCTTGCTTTACAACAAAACTTAGGCCGTTGCAATAAAAAGCAATACTCACAGGTACCAAATCTTCTTGTTTTTTTAAAAGATTTATTAATTTTTTAATATTCATTTTTCCATTTAACCCTCAAAAAAGAAAAAAAAAACACATATCCCGATTTTTATTCAATAACTTGATAACTCCATATAGCAGAAATTTTACATTGAAAACTTTTTCAAAGTAAAAAATTATAATTAATCAATTTACTAAATATATTTTATTTAATCATTTGTGACTGATATTGTATTAATCATTATTAAGAGAATCCTATTTCATTATTTATTACTGTTTTGAAATTTTCTAAAGAAGGGAATTTTTACAGTAAGCAGATGTAGAAAAACTTATTAAGAATGTCATGTAATGGGAACGAATGTTAATTATATTTAATGTTAAAGCTATAGCCTATATATAATCAGAAAATTCCATACTCTATTCTTTTTTTTACCACGTAATTTGTTAACGCAAAAATTTTGATAATTTTGATTTTTAAATATTGGCATCTATGACGGCAATTAACTCAACGACTAATTTTTTATTAGCAAATTAATATAACAACTAAAGAGAAATACTAAATGCTATTAAAGTTTTAGAAATATTGTTTAAACTTTTGAAGTTCACTTCTTGTTACCTTCTCTATTTCAGTGTTAAATATCTCCCAAGGATGAGAGTTCATTACCTAAAATCTAAAACATTTAGAATAACCTTCTTTATTACTATAGCTCTACTATATAAAATGCAATAAAAGAGAAATAAATTAACAGTATTTTTTAAAAATTTGAGATTGATAGCATTCTTACAATCTTAAACATTCATACAAATGAATGTACCTGAACATTTTAGTGATTAAAGTTTTCAAAATTTTCTTCCTTCACCATCATAGCCTATAAAATTATATATCTGATTTTTTAATGTTATATGAAGTTTACTTTCAGCTAAGAATACTATAATTAAGTTAAAACCTTACTTCTTTACCAGTGTTACTCTTTTATTTTCATGCATTTAATTAGAAAGATAATAAAGAATTAATAAGGAAGATAATAAAGAAAAGAAAAGAAATAAAAGTTCGAGCGATTTTTCAACAAAAAATTTCAATTTTATTTTAGCAATCTTTTCTTTTCTTTGTTTAAATTATGCTTAAAAACAACTTTTCTTTTTTAAATATAATTATGTAGAACTTTAAACTTAATATTCAATGCATTATTTATTTTAAAAGAGTACTGTTTGAGTTGTAGACAATTAATAACACCCATCACTTTGTTCACTGCGAAAGAACGAACAGTCAAAACTACGAGAATATAGTAAAATTTTCCAAGTTTTTGGAGCTATGAGAACACCAAATAGCTCGGTTATTTTTATCGACGCTCTTTAGGTTATGATATTGGCAAAATTAACAGTAAAATTGTGCTTTATATGTGTTAAAATTATAAAATTTGGTATGCGTGGTAAAATTTGATACTAAGGATCATGATACTATTTATTCGATTTATTTAATTTTTCAGTTTTGTATTTTCTAAATGTGTAGTAATAAGAGATGAAATTTTGAAAACCAAAACTGCGGGTAAACCATTAATATATGAGCGGAAATTGTTACCATATACATAGCTTTTAGCTTCATTAACAGCCCTATAGTTTTTTTTTACCAGAAATATTTTTACCATGCATTACAGGAATTTTCAGAATTTTTTTCTCCATGTTGAAAAAAAAAATCTCTCTAGTGATTACGAGGTTTTTTTTATTTTAATTTTCACTGAATTTATATTTATTTTTTTTCGGATTGGGAGAAAACTTGGTTATTTGTCACAAATTTCCATTCGAAACTTATGTTTTCTCCTAAAAAAGACTACATTTCCTTTACCAAAAATGTTTTTAGTAATGACTCCTCTACCTCAAACATTTCCTCTATGATCTTTTCTGAGAATTGGTGATTTGGCTGGACTTAGTTGTTTTTTAGTGAATATTTATTGTTTCGAATTTGTTTCGATTTGATATTGTTGATAAGTTATTGAATTTTTTTAACAATAACATCAAAATTAATTTGTTTAGCTCATATGTGGCAACGAGGAATTAATAATTGTTAGATTCACATTGTTTAAACAGCATTTAAATATGGAGATAGGAACAAACAAAGCCTTTCTGCAATTTAGAAAACCTTTTAGCTTTATTTTATTAAATTAGATGTTAACGTGCGTATTAAGTTTAAACTCACACTAAAGCATAAAAGTAAAGCACTTCCTTACTTAAAATTGATAATTTGTAATCAATTTTAATACTTACCACAAGTCTTAAAACATTTTATGCGTATTCATAGAAATATTCATATTATCATACCATCAGATAAAGTCTGAATGCTATAATATATAGCAAAGACTACAAGATAAACTTCACAAAAAGTAACAAAAAGGAAAGCATATTCATAAAAAAAATTGCGTATTAAATTTAGGTCAAACTAGCTGGTAAAATTTTATAAACTATGCAAAAGACAAAATTTTATGATGGAATTCCAATGAAAAAGAAAATCTAAGTTTTACAACTATATTCAATTGTATATTTAATAGTATTTAATGCTATATGAATATTAGTTTAATAGTAGAAATATTGCTAATGAGTTTTTTCTCTTAAAGAAGCGAATTATAATTTCATCAATGAACACTGGTATCATATTTTAAGATGAAACAATATAAAATAAAATTTTCAGCGATTCCATAGTTACATCATAAAAGTAAAATGTAATATGAATGTAATTTTAAATCTTGATAAAAAATTTTTTATAAAAACAGATTCATTTAATTGTTTTAGCTTAAAATGTATGAAAACGCATTTTCAATTATAATCTGCTATTTTTAGGTAATATCAGTTGCATTAATTTTTTAATTAAACTATCGAAAATAAATTGTAAACATTAATTTATTTCCT